GCGTCCGCGGTCGATGTCCTTGGTGCTGAACTAGGGGTCCCTATTCTCTGCCCGAGTTAAGCACGGCATTATGCCGCCACTCCAAGCCTGTCAAGAGAGCTCAGAGGCCGCCGGAGGGACTACAGCGGCGGTGCGTCCGCGGTCGATGTCCTTGGTGCTGAAACGGGGGGTCCCCAATCTCTGCTCGAGCTTGGCAAGGCGTCCCGTGCCGCTCTGAGCCTGCCGAGAGCACTTAGCTACGACAGGAGTACAGCGGTGGTGTGTACGCGGGCGATGTCCTTTTCTGCTAAAACGGGGGATCCCTAACCCCTGCCCGAGCTTGGCACGGCGTCCCGTGCCACTCCAAGCCTGCGGAAAGTGCTCAACTGCGGGCGGCGGGCGTGTGGTAGAGCGTCCGCGGGCGGTGTCCTTGGTGCTAAAACGGGGGTCCCCAACCTCTGCCCGAGCTTGCCAAGGCGTCACGCACCACTGCGAGCCTGCGGAAAGAGCTCAACTGCGGGCCGAATAGTGTGGTAGAGCGTCCGCGGTCGATGCCTTTGGGTAACCTGGTCGGGGGTCCCTAACCTCTGCTCGAGCTTGCCAAGGCGTCACATGCCTCTCCCAAGCCTGCCGAGAGCGCTCAGCTACGAAAGGAGTACAGCGGCGATGCGTGTCCTTGGTGCTGAAACGGGTGATCCCTAATTTCTGCCCGAGCTTGGCAAGGCGTCCCGTGCCGCTCTGAGCCTGCCGAGAGCGCTCAGCGGCCGCCGAAGTACAGGAGGGGTGCATGTACGGGAGATGTCCTTGGTGCTGAAACAGGGGATCCCCAACCTCTGTCCAAGCTTGGCAAGGCGTCCCGTGTCGCTTCAAGCCTGCCGAGAGTGGTCAGCGGCCGCAGGAGGGACTACAGCAGCGGTGCGTCCGCGGTCGATGTCCTTGGTGCTGAACTAGGGGTCCCTATTCTCTGCCCGAGTTTGGCACGGCATTATGCCGCCAATCCAAGCCTGTCAAGAGAGCTCAGAGGCCGCCGGAGGGACTACAGCGGCGGTGCGTCCGCGGTCGATGTCCTTGGTGCTGAAACGGGGGGTCCCCAATCTCTGCTCGAGCTTGGCAAGGCGTCCCGTGCCGCTCTGAGCCTGCCGAGAGCACTTAGCTACGACAGGAGTACAGCGGTGGTGTGTACACGGGCTATGTCCTTTGTGCTGAAACGGGGGATCCCCCGAACCTACTGACAGCTCTCAGTTGCAGCCGGAGTACAGCGGCCGTGCGTGCGCGGGCGATGCCCTTGGTGCTGAAACAGGGGATCCCTAACCGTAACCTGCTAAAGGCCGTTCCGATGAACATTGAGCGCGCTGCTCCACCTGTACACGGGGACCAGAGCGGTAGATGTGTCCCCTCTTCTTGTAGCAAGCTTGGGTTCGATCAGATGTGAAATTTAGGGAACACAGCCGCAACGACAAACACAAATACAACGACAAACACAACGACAACGACAAATACAACGACAAACTTTTGGAGTATGTTGGGGAAGGGGGTGGGGGGCAGAGGGACCACGATGTGCAGCTGAAAGTTGACAACGCTGTAAAAAACACAAATGCCGCAAAATAACAACAAAAATACAAAGTATGAGGGCAGAGCAGTCATTCTTGGAAGTCTCTTGTCATAGATGTATGGATTTTAATTGTTCTGTTAAATTATATTCATTCAATTTCATTTCAAATTTACTTATCAACTCTAAAGCTTCCTATTATCAACTCTAAAGCATTACAAGATAGCTTATAGATATGACATAGGTAGTTTTTTCTTGTTTTTATGTATTTTACCTGTTTATGTACTGATACAAGTGCCTGAGGTAAATATGTCATCAAATGAAATAAGGAAATAGATTGATTAACTCCTGGTCTGATGGTTTGTTGCAGGTATTGAATATCTGACTGACGCAATTTCCGGGAACTGTACAACTCGACCCATCTCCAACACGAGCTTCGACTCAGAGGCGGTGGACCCCTATACCATCCGCATGCGCAACAAATTCGAATTCTTTGAGTTTGACAAAGTCAACTACTCGTACAGTGGAGTGGTGAGCGACTTTTCTCTTATTATACAAGAAGAGATTAAGTTAGAAAGGTAATATTTTGACAGTTTGTGTGGTCTCTATGAACTGACTGCCATGTTGCCATCTCTTTTTGTATGTGTCTTGATTGTAGTTTAAGTGCATACAACAGTTTTAAATCTAATCCAGAATTTTTGTGGTATTCCTCCTTTGAGGTGTATACCTCTATAAAAACCTATTCTCATCTCATACTACATACTCTTGTATCAGGTAAGACTAGCCTTATGGAACTATAGTTATGTACTAGTAGATGCTATACTTTGTACCTTGTACAATTGTTGTGCAGTAAAGTTCATTTTTGCTGTATTATGGGACTGTCATATATCTTTTTTTTTTAAACGTTTTAACGTCATTTTTCCCCGAACCGGGGGTTAGACATGCTTGCACGAAGTACAAGTCTTTTTGTTGAAGCAAGATTTTTATGGCTGGATGCTCTTCCTAGCGCCAACCCAAACCCTAGTAGGGCCCAGGATCCCTCTAACTGAGGGGGGAAATATGTGTTAAGTGCCTTTCCCAAGGGCACAACGTCTGGGTCCAGCCCTGGGGATTGAACCTGGGTCCCCTTGCTTGACAGTCGGATGTTCTATCCACTACACCACACAGATGCTACTTCTTCAGCTGCATCAAAAGTGTGCCAGCTCCCCTCATCACACCGGAGGCTGTTACATCATTCTGTTGTATCAGCTCCAGCTGTGATGAGTGAAGAGGCATGCACAGTACAACAACCAATCACATCTCATATAACACAATAGAGTTAGCATGCCAAACCAGTAAATGTGTTGGGCATAGTACTTTGGCAGAGCATCTCATTTAAGGTAACATATTCACAGTAGACACATGCTTAAGATGACAACCCGTCTATAGTTTTTAGAATTAAAGTTGTGTCAGAAAATATGTCATCTACAGATTCTGATGCGACAAATAAGGTTTGTAGGGCTAGATCATTGTGAAGGTAAACATTACCCTCTTAGACAGTGAGTAGTAGTTCATGATTTCCATTTCCTGGTTTGTTTCTGTAGAAAGAGCTGCGAGGCATCCCGTGTGATGTGTGGATTGCCACACGAATGGACTGGCCTTTCAAGGGCAAAATCACGTCATGGGAGTGGTGGTTCAGCGCGGTATGTGAGATGTCTGTTTGTTTTTTTTGTTTGTTTGTTTGTTTTGCATAACCACCTTCAAGTGTAACACACCAGTTTTGTACACGTAAGTACAAGCTGCATGAGGCTAGACTGTAAGGTTTGATTTCGCAAAGTACTTACTTATTTTGTTTTCTTGTTTGTTTGCTTTACTTTCTACTAGTTGAAGCATGTAATATACACATAGCTAGCCCAGATATTTTGCAATGCAAAATAAATTGTTTTAGATTCTCTAAGATTTTTTGTACCCTATATGTCCCACATATTATGTTTATAATTTTTGGGTCTTATTACCTTAATAGTATATCGATTTGAAAGTGAACTCAAGTTATGCAGAAAAACAGTAGGAACTTCTGAAAATAATATCAAAGCATGCATCTAACCAACAATGAAATGCGTGACATACACTGATATTTTGTATTTCGCGGGTTTAACATTTTCTTTTCAAATTTCAGCTTTCTATTGAATCGTTATAGCAATGATCAGCACTGACAAGAATCTCCAATTATACTCAGCTGACAGACTATTAGAGTTAAGAAAATGCCTCCGCCCCTCAGGTGTCGCCAAAAAAACGCAATGCATTCTGTCATGTCCAACTACCATATCTGCTTAATATGTAGGACAATTTCTGTACACTTTATTTCATAAGCGAGACCATATCATCAATGCAGGACCATATTGTAACTCATATACTGTATCTATTAGATAGTAGTTTGTAGTAAGAAATGTAATAAGATAGTTAAGTTTTGTAGTATTGTTGTATTACTGCCACACATTGTACCATGTACCATTGTCGAGCAATAAAGTTCATTCACTGTTTGTGCTACCATGACTGTATTTAGGTTGGTGTGGCAGCATCTACCACCAACAGAGGCGTGGAGCTAAATGTTCCCATCCACTTGGAAGTTCGGTCCCTCGACCCGGTGAGTTTTATGGTAGCAGCACACAGTATTAATGGGCGACCCCCGGGGTCGATGACGCGGGTATAGAAAGTAGTGCAGAGAATATTCTTGAAGGCTGGGTAGAAAGCCTGACAAGAGCGTCAGCCAGATGTAAATTGCGCTGTGTGGTGTAGGAATGTATCGGGTTTGAGACTGTATGATTTGAATTGTGAAGGTTTTGCAGTTCGTGTATAAATGCGCCATATTACGCAACTGGCTTTCCGGGTGAGTCGGCTGCAGTTCAGGTCACGTCGTCCGTAGAGGGCGATTTCAAAGTGTACATTACAAGCAGATACGCCGACAGGATTTTTTGGTTTCTAGATATTTTGTAGTTTGTACCTTCTTCTCAAACATATTCGATTTTCGTATTTGTGAAGTGCACCCTACTATAATTTTTACCGCGTCGATGTGAGTCATCTTGGGGTCCTTAACTATAGAAATCCCCATAGGGCGAAACTGTGTTCTGCTACCTTATTATGTTCATTTAGTACTTGTTACTAGCATAGTACCCTGTTTACTGGTATGGTCCAAAAAGTGGTCGGTTAACCGACTACTTTTTTCATTATTCACTACTTACATGACATAATGTTACGGCCTGATAACCGATGAGAAATGGAGGCTTCTCATTGGTCGACGTCACCCGGCCATAAGATAATACTATTTCAATTGTTTTACATGGTTGTAGTTTAAACTAAGCAGGTTGCTTCATCTCAATGCAGTTGCATGCTACAATTGTCATCATATCATTGTACTGCAGATCTGGTGGGTTTGATATGTTCATATAGCTACTTAGTACATAGATAGTAGGGAAAAGTATAGTTTAAATTTGCAATATCTTTACGTGGTTGTTATCTGCAGTTTAGGCCACACCAATTTAATTTCTTGGTTAACGGATTCGCCTCTTCATTTTTTTCTGATTTGCAAATAAAAATAAAAATTCAGAATCAACTGCAAAATGCTCATATTTTGCCCTGAACAGTTGAAAACAGTCCTTTTCTTACTACCTTGTTACAGTCATTCCATCTATCAATGCAGTGCTACCATTAAAAGTTCAAAATTCATTGTTTAAATTTTGAACCAGCCTGGTGTGCTGACTTCATGGCTCCTATCGTACCATTTTGGGCCATAATAGGATGCCTAGGCCTGTTTTTATTTTATTTTTTTTCGCCCGCCCGCTCCATTATTTTTCTAGAAAAATCCGTTAACCAAGAAATTAAATTGGTGTGGCCTTAAGACTAAATTGCCGGGGGGTGCCTCATCTCGACAGTTCCTGATGATTCTTTGTACTGATTTTTATTTTACAGACCTTCCCATACTACACTATCTACAACACGTATGCCTTTGACAACAGTCAACCCAAGTTTCAGTACTTCGACATCAACCACTGTTTCCCTGCTGAGAACAGGAAGCGCCTCCAGGTGGCATTCCCAGGTACTGCAGTTCCTAGTGTAACAACAAGTACATGTAGGCATCACTACTTGCCCAGCCCAATGGGTCCTGGACCTATTTATCCTAATGGGTTAGCGTGCTGGTTGTGAACTGACACGTCTCGCGAGCGATGCAGGTTCAAGCCTGGGGGTCTGTATCTGTATAGCCGGTATAACCGCCTTTCGGCGTAACACACCAGCTTCGCCGAGGCATGTGGCACGGCGGCAGCTGGTTGTATTACACCGATAGATTTGTTACTTCTAACTCTAGACATTGAACTTCTAACTCTAGACATTGTTTGGAGCTATCTAATGATAATGCCCCTACTGTACTTGGTGACAGGGAGTTCCACTCTGCGATTATTAGTTCTAGGAAAGAATGAATTCTTGAACAGTCCTCTGAGTCAATCCTTCGTTGATAACTCTGGTACTTGAAGGCATGGCTATTTCTTGTTTTCTTTTGGGCTCAGGTATTAGGTACTCTAAGTAGTTGGGTCAGGATCAACCTTCGAGTTACTCCTTTTACCTGTGTTATAATGGTGTCAGAAGTGGGATAGGGGATAGACAGTTGCCCTAAAAATGGGAATTAACATGAAAATAACACTGTTCAAAAGTAGTTTAAGACTGAGAGAGGTGGATGATACAAGAAAACCAAGTAGAAATCCAAGTTAAAGACATTTAATAGAATTAAACCCAAGATAATGTTTAAAAAAGGTAATTTAGGGTCAACTTTAAAGTTTTGTTGTTTTCCTTCCCCTTGTTACAGGTAACTACTTCTCGCAGGTGTTCAGTAACCAGACCCTGTTTAAGGAGGAGTTTCTGCTGGTAGTGGTGGAGACAGCAATGGTGTCTCCTCTCAGGGTTACAGACATGCAGGTAAGGTCTCAGCTCACAGTTCATCACATGTAGATTTAAGGGTCTCCAGCATGTCGGCAGAACGCACTGCACCTGCGCAGAACCCTGTATTTTCACGTTTTTCGGTAGATTTTTGGTCAACATTGCATTGGAATTTTCTCTGTTGCAAAGGATATCTTTTCCAACATAACATTTTGAAACTACAGATGAGATGTTTTCGTTATATGCGCGAATACGACCTTATATGAGACATTCTGCCAAAGTGCTATGTACAATACATTACGGGTTTTGCGCAGGTGCAGTACGTTCTGCCGACGTGCTAGCTAGGGTCTCCCATCAGGGTTTAAATTAGCACACAAATAAGTGACACACCAAGGTCCATGACATACATTCAAGTAATTGGTCTTCCCCAGAGTTTAGGACATTTATTTTAGGGTCTCTCATTGGTGTTTAGATTTAAAACTTAAGATCCAACACAAAAAGTTTTCTCACCTAGAGCTTTTGACCAGTTACGTGACGTGACAAGTCTCACTGGGTCAGTCTCCAGGTGAAAGCTCCAGATGAGAGAACTTCTTGTGTTCAGGGTCTAAAGTTTTAACTCTAAACATGTATGTCATCAAAACTAATCGTAATTCTGCTATTCTCAGCTTGACTATGACAGCAGTCGGCGGATCCTGGTGGAGTTCACACTGCTGGACAAGGCTCCCATCGTGGGCAGCGTGTACTGTTCAGGTGGCTGCCGACCTGAGACACCTCTACAGCAGGCTGTCGACATGGTCAAGTCAGCAGTCAACAGTAACCAATTCACTGTCCAGATGCCAAGTGCTGACCCCAATAAGGTTAGTTTATATAGTCTGTTTCATGCCCTTAGCCAGGATTTTGAATGGGGGGGTTCTTCCCACTGCTTGAGGGGACCTCGAGCGCCGTAGGCGAGCGCCAAAGGCGCTCGAGGTTCCTAGGGGGTCCAGGGGCATGCTCCCCCGGAAAATTTTGAAAAATGATCCTTCTAAACTGGCATTTCGTGCATTTTTGAGAGGGTTTCCAATAATTTCCAACAATTTCTATGATTCCAGTCCATCTTTTCAAGGAAAATCTTGGACCTTTACATAAAAAGTGGACCAAAAAGTGGACCTTTACATAAAAAGTGGACCAAAAAGTGGACCTTTGAGCCTTGGACCTTTGAGCCAAAAAGTGGACCTTCCAAACCCCCCGAATCCCCCCTGGCTATGGGCATGTGTTTGTATATAAAGAGTCCAGAAATCATATCAGAAATGTAGATATGCCAGTAGCATGTCAGTACTGTCAAGGCAGTAAATTTTAGGAAGCATTTCAGTACTTGTCAGATGCATGACAGCTAAGCTGCTTTGACTGAAATGTTACTGAAATGGAACTGTACTGAGTACTGAGTGTTAGCAACTGATTAGTTACTGACATTTGCCATTTCCATTTCGGTAACATTTAAATCAGCTTTGCTGTCACAACTGTGATGCAAGTGACAAGATGAATTAACTGTATTCTGACTGATCTCTTACTTACACTCAGTGTCTTGACAGTACTGACATGCTACTCACTCAATGGCAATTACTGAACTTTGAGATTTAGACATTTAATTTCACCCCAATGTGATAAGGGTGAAATTTGTACATTTACATAGTATCACAAGATGTTTAGTATACATAGTATCACAAAATGTCTAAGAGGAAAGATGACATTATTTTACAAATGTACACAATCATATACATAAACTTTACGTATATGACCCTTAATTCAACCTTTTCATCATGCAAATATCTCCACATTCGCAGCCTCTGGCATTCACAGCGTACCCAGACAAGTACCGAGATGACCTGACCGTCCCTGGAATGCCTCAGAAAGGATACTCCTCTGGTAGGTAACATTTGTGTGGCCCAAGGGCACAGGAAACTAAGATTGGCACCGCCCTATATACCATATGATGTGGGAACGAATTTCTTACTTTAACTTAGCTATATAGATAACATGCAATAAAAGGGTACATTAATTTTAAAAAAGGTTTAGTCAGTATAACATAAAAGTTATGTATACTGTGGCCAAGTGCTTAATATCATTAGACAAGTCCTATGCCTTGTTTAAAAGGTCTGAGTATGCACAGCATTATATCAGGCCATGCATGCTAAATGTGTTTCCAAAGTTGTTTGGATACAGTATGGTCACAGGGAGTGTAGTGGGAAGTGGTGCACCCAAAGATTGACATGAAGGTAGAATTGGCGGTCAAAACGGCCTCAATGTGTGTTTGCTAATGTTAAGTTTGTTTCTATTATAAGTTATTTGAATACAGTATGGTCACTGGAAGTGTTAAAGGACATGGTGTATCATAGGAAGTGTAAAGGGGAAAATGGTGTATCCAAAGATTGACAAGAAGGTAGAATTGGAGGTCAAAATGGTTTCAACCCAAGCTGATAGGAAGTGCATAATGTAATTTGGTTATCTCATTCAAAATGATGATTAAAGATATTTACAACGACTTCAAATATTTTACGGAGGACTGAAATCCTGAATTTCTTGTTTACAGTTAAAACTTTTGATCCAACACAAAAAATTCTCTCCCCTTAAGAGCTTTCGACCAGTCACTCTGGTGTTCCTCAGTAGACTGACCCAGTGAGTTGCTTCTTTGAAGTGTGACGTCAACACTGGGTCAAAGGTATCTGGTAGACGATGTTGGCCCCCGTCGCCCTGATGTATGAACTTAGCTTCCTTCATCCCTCTCAGGAAAGTCTTGTTATGTTTACCGAAGGAAAACATATTGTTTTTGCTCCGTTTCTTCCTCTTCTTCTTCTCCAAACAGTGACCTCTGATGACCTAGCCAATGACATGATTTGTTGACGTCTGTCACCATGGTGACTGGGTGTTGGGTTACATAATGTTGCAATTTCATGGTCTACTCTGCTCGTGTCACCATAGAATGTTACTAGTAGTACATGTATGTGAATATGTTTGGGTAAGAATTAACAGAGCAGACCATATCCGAAGGTAAACATTATGCATTTGCTTTGCAGATGTTACTTCTCTTGTTCAGTCCTGAATTTGTTGTTGACGTTTGTTGTTGTTGTTTACTTCAGGTGACATGGCGGGACTGGCTATGGGTATGGTCATCCTGGGACTGGTGATCGGTGGTGGATCCGGATTCTTCATCTTCAGAAATGCATAAATCAATCAAGAAAATGTACAAATTTAGCTGCAATAGCATTGCCAATTGAAGATATTAGCTTCTATGCACTTGTATTAAAAGCAGTGTAGTTATAAAAATGATCACTAGTTGTATTTGTATTGCAGCAGTCTATAGGAACCAATACTTACACTCATGTTTTTAATAAGAACTTAAACTTGAAATGAAGGATTGTTTAAAAGCACCTCTGCATGGGCACTGGAAAATGCTGATTTATAGACTTTGAGGTGATGAAATATATGCTGATGTAGAATGCAATAATGACTTTTTGTGTCCGAACACAGTTTTCTGTACTGTGGTGCTACTAACACAAATTTCATATCAAGTCCTTTTAACAGTAGCTTTTTTAAAATACAGTAATTGTCAATGCAATTTGATGAGCTAGTAGTTTTACATTGTACCCAGTGTTTCAAGCATTATACTAGAATATAGTAAAGGGGAAATTTATTCCTAATGTTTGTGAGCATTATTATTGAATTGTAACAAAAGCTGTCATGTATACTCTCAAATACCTGATTATTGTATCCTTGTCATTTGTTTTGTATTATCATACCACTGCTTTGTGGCTATTGTTACAATAAAACTAAGGTAATTTTTGCCATTATAGGGGAGGGGGGGTGAGAAAGACAATGTTGATGGATTTACAATGTACTTTTAGTACTATAAGGACCATGTAGTTGGATCCGTTTTCATACGGATCTTTTCAGGGAACTGAAATTGAGATTAGATTATAAGATATAATTCCATGAGTTTACCAATCCCAGACCCCTAGAATACCACAGAGGCGAATCCAAGAACCAGCAAATTAAATTGGTGTGGTCCCCTGGGACCCTAGATAAACACACTAAGTACTTGATGACTTCTTTACAAACTTTTGATAGACTGCAGGTAACTTTTATCCCGCTAGGTGGCATCTTACACCATAGTTTTACATTTTACATCATACACGTTTTTTCCCGAATCTGCCGACTGTTATGTTTCGTATTCTAGCCACAAATTTAAAAGCATAACACTATTTTGTCAATATCTTGAACTTAAACTTTGCTGGTGTATCATACGAACCGTTAGACTTTAATACATACGCCAAGAATGGACTGTTCCAAATAAATACTTTAGACCTTTTAAAGTGGCTGCAATGTCAATTTGAACAATAACGGTTTTTAAAACATCGTGTATGCAAAACTTCATAAAACTTTGTTTCAATACTTAAATTTGAGAAATAAGAAATAAAGAAATAAAAAAAAATAAAAAGAAATAAAGTTCTAAAGCATAGAAAAGTCACCCATATGTGTTTTAAGCGTTTTGATTAATACTTATTATTTAGATTTTTAAATAGAACAACCCAATTTTGGATGCAGTCGATTCTAAAACGGACCTTTCTTGTGTCCTTAAATATTTTCTTCCCTCCAGACGACGTATAAAACCAGTTATTTATAAGCCTCTTCAATATCTAAGCCTCTAATTACATATTACTGACAGGCAGTATTATAGAAGGCCAGTAAACGTGACCGTTTTGTATACACAGGTTTTCATCACCGCCCCCGGTATATTTGTTCCCGTTCTGCCGTTTGAAATTTGATAAGCGCGCAGTATCAGGCCTCGAAATTAACGTTTCTTCTTATTGTCCCAGCACAGTCCCAAAATACATTTCAGTTATCCCGAAGTGAGAATGAACTGTCCCAACCTATTTTTTTGGAAGTATTGTATGACTTCAACTTGAAGTCAACTTGACTTTGCTTATGTTCACTCCCAGGCACACTATAATTGCAGGGTAGACAGGATATTCTGGGGGACTCTTCCGGGTCCAAAAGCCGGGACGTGTGCCTGATAAACAAAAGAAGGGCTGACATTCTGATGCTGATTATTTTTCTATGGTCCCATAAATGTCCCAAAGTGTCTTTTTAGTTGTTCCAGCCTAAATTTTAGCGGTCAGTTGCCATTGGAACACCTTTAATTTCGAGCTAGCCTCTACCAGGCACCGCGGATCACTGAAAAAATAGTAGAAATTGGCCGAAATAAAGGGATAGTATACCAGAGAAGATCCAGGGCCATAGAAGCTCCAATTTGCGACCGTGGGAGCTTCCAATGGCCCTGGATCTTCTCTGGTATACTATCCCTTTATTTCGGCCAATTTCTACTATTTTTTCAGCGATCCGCGGTGCCTGGTAGAGGCTAATTTCGAGCCCCGATACATACTTGTTGAACTACGTGGTGTGTGTGCAATCAATACCTCTCACCGTTGCACCCTCCATTATGGTAAATAATAGGCACTGCATAGATCGGTACATGGGAACAAGGACTTTTTGATGGGGCGCTACCAAGTAGTTTTAGGGAGGTTCCATACAATACACTTTTAAAACTATGCATGTTCTCCTTAACACCAAACGCCAATTTTTGTACTATATACGTTGTTGAAATACAGGTATATTGTGCTGCCACACATATACGATATGTAAAGTTTTTGTGCGTTGAAATGCATTTTATAGTTAACAGACACCCCTGTTTTTGTGATAAGATTGTCCGCAAAACGACAGAGCTGTTTTTAAGTACAGTTTGACGTTACCGCCATTCAAAGTTCACACATACAGACTACAGTATGACTCACGGCTACGTTACAGTGTAATGTTTATACTTGTACCTTAGTGTCATTGTTTAAAATGACTCAAGCTACCTATATAGTATCTTTATAACACTACGCTTGAAGAGAGGTGTCTTCACTTTTGTTGCAGACCAGTGTTGGTGTTGTACTGTACAGGTAGGCAGTGTGTTTTGATATCATAATTTTGTACCTTAGTGTCATTGTTTAAAAATGACTTAGGCAACACATATAGTGATGGTATCTTTATAATACAACACTCGAAGAGAGATTTCTTCACTTTTGTTGCAGGCCATTGTTGGTGCTGTACTGTGCAGGTAGGCAGTGTGTTTTAATATCATAATTTTGTATTCCGTATATAGTTTCCTCATGTCGGCAGATCAATATGTACTGGATTTTTAAAGCTATGCAACCGGAGCTACTGAAAGGTTACCTAAACGTTGGTAGATAGAAATCCTTTTAGTGGTGTAGTTTACATGTAGAACCCAATATATTCATAATTTTATGATTATCTGTGGCAAGAGTAAGGTAAAAAAAAATTAAGATTTCGACGACAGTATGTATATACACAAAAGGCTACAAGTGCAGGGTCGGATGTAGTTATTTTTAATTGACCGAAAATCCGAAATATCGTATATCGATGCAAATTTTGATTGGAAACAACTGCAAAAGTTATTATGATCAACGTATTTGAATTACTGAGCAATAATCTTTACATATATACACACACACAACACACACACACACACACACACAACACACACAACACAAACTCACGCACACATACACACAAACACACACACACACTCACACACACACACACACACACAAATTCACAGACACACACATACACATACACACACTCACACACACACACACACACAAATTCACAGACACACACTCACACAAGCTAACATTATACTTTATAGTACTTTGTGTCCCCACCCACTTTCCTTGCTAAGACAAATAATGCTTATTTATATTATGTGCATGGGGAGGGGGTAAGAATCGCTAGGAAGTTAAAAAAATCTCCAGACCAGCAAATATTTTTCTTTACACGATTTTGCATGTGAATTTCGGTCAAAGGTATTTAAAAAAACTCTTGAAAGAAAACATTCTACTCCAAACGAGACACTAACTACGAAAACATGAAACAAATACTATGCATGTTAGCAAACGTCGTTCTAAACAATAGTCTTCTGTGTCATGACAATATACCTGGAATGATAAATATGTGTTTCTCAACAGCATATCTACTTGTGAATGCATAGCCAGGCCCGGGGTGCGAACTTGGCTTTGTGTAGGCAACAATGGACTTGGACTTGTCTGGACAAGGAGTCTGGGGTACATGTTTTCCAACTACCAACTTAAGCCGGGGAGGGGAAGGGGGTTGTGCGAAGTTTGCTGGAAAAAAAAAACACAACATGAATGGATGAATAAATGAATGAGGAGATAAAGTACAGGAAAGAGAATGAATGAATGAGAGCATTTGATACAATGCAAGACAGTCCATACTTAATTATGATAGGAGGAGAGATGCTATGGATACTTATCTTTCTTGCACACGCTGTGCTTTTTGTTTATTTATTTATAAAGCACATAAAAGAAAACACAACACTGTGATAGCGATGACACTTATATACGCGTCGAAATCGAACATAAAATGATTAACAAAGATATAATACTACGCTCTGCTTCTTTGATGTATCAATCTTAAGAATCAATCTCAAGACAATTTTCATGCTGTACATGTCCTCCCAAACCCTTCTTGACTTACTGTCCGTGAGGCTGTTCCGAAATCCCTCTTGGCCAGAAGGTATTTAAAGCATGTTTAAACTTCGCGTAAACCCTGTGACCACTACGGACAAGCACGCCTAAAACCCTGTATCTGCTTGGAGATTACTCTGAAAGAAAGGGTCTATGACATGTTCTCACCCCTCGGAGTTAACATTGGTAGGTGCATCATTGCATGATTGAGGTCTTCACAGAAAAGAGCCGAACTCTGAAATGACTCAGGTCAGCCATTCTGTCGGGTTAGCCTAGATACGAGGACATGCGTGTTGGAACAGCCAAACTTAGACTCTGGCTTTATATGTCTTACACAGTCCCGCCCACAAGTAGACTCGCTCTACATACATTTTCAAGGAAATAAAATTAGAATCAGTTACCAAGTGTCGAGTAGAATATTCAATATCCGACGCCGTAATGTACGATAGTCTTAAATATTGTTTGGCAGGTTAAAAGTTCTTGGTTATCAATTTCTGTTGTTGTGTTTAGTTCGTCACATCTATAGCTCGGCCGAGGCTACTACATGTCTAGTCAAATAATGCTGTACCTTTTTTATCAATTGCTTTCAAGAGAAGAAGTAATTAAGTCTGTTATGATCGTTTTTTTTATTTCAGTCGCGCAAAACAAGTTTGATACTCTGAGCTTCCTTGTAGAGACCAAGTTGTAGCAAGGGGGTTATATGGAGAATTGTAGAAAGAAGATTGAATCCATAGAGACAGGACTATCTTATGCCGGTGTCCGCGATTATAGGTTCAATCAACCCAGCTGTCTAACACGGTATTTCCCGCCTTCTGGCCAAATTTGCCGCCATTCTAAGATTAGTTCGCAAGTTTTAGCACAGGTGCGAAAAATCGTGCATTCTCTATATGAGAGTCGAACCCGGCAGCGAGGCATTCTACTGTCTTTCTTCTGCTCCCTACAGTCTTATCGTCTGGATATCTTCTTTACTCAAGCCTTCAAGATGTTACGAGTAAGTAGACAGTAACACTTGAGTAACATCTTAACGTTTTAAGGCTGGAAGGATAGAAATAACGCATTGTTTAAACTACTGATAGAGCAAAAAATGGGGGAGGGGGGTGAAGTCAAAATTGCTCCGAATACAAGACCTGTAATGAAACAACGTGGTAATAATAGATATTGTCTGTGTCATTGTCTTAAAGGGCTGAACATACTAATTTTGTACAATTACAAGAATGTTTAAGTGTTGTTTTTGGGGGAATCTAGATATACAAATTGTTGCTTAGAGGGGGTGGTGGACAATTTGCAATGTAGACAATATTCCTATCCACTAGTTTCCCTTGCACAAAGCTACGATGTATTCGCTGACTTTTTGGGGCCATTTTTGATGGCAACATTTTAGTCTATGAAGAGGGGATTTTGTTACTAATTGCTTGGATGTTCCTTTGTTGCGTCTTTGTGTCGTAAAGTTTAATTGTTTTAAATTGCTAGCGCCGTTCTGGTAGGACCAGGTAATTATACCACATTTGGCGAACATTTCAATGGTTGTAATGACAGAGCGGTAGACGCTTGTAAAGCAAAACATGGACCATTCTAAATTTTAAAGGAGGGGGGACAAATATCGAAATATATCGTTCTTATCTCAATTTTGTCAACCATGACAACGAAATATTGTCTGGGAATGGTAACCTTACGTCTGATAAATTTTGCATTTTCTTACATGTGATTTACATGAATTTCGCTAGGGATCTTTATTTGATGTTTTCTTACGAATGCACCCCCCCCCCCAATTCCAGCGGTATCTAAAGTGGGCGTTACCATTTTCACAGGGGAATCGGTCCATCCCCAATAGGGTTAGAAATTATAAGGCAGCGTCGCAAGCTACAAAACTGTAGGTAAAAATGTACAACTCTACATCCACGGACGGGTCAGACTTCGAAGATGATTTGGCGGAATTCGTCCGACTTTTTCCCGCCATTTCTCTGTGCACCTGTCATAACCATGGCAACCGTCAGGATGTCGTCTGCGAGGACCTAGCAACCGAGTCTGTTTTTGGCGCGAGTCCAGAGCTCTCACCTTCCGAAGAGGTTAATACTACATAGTTTGTTCCAAAGAAATTATTCTGTATAATGTCCTAGCATGTTCTTTCCCTAGATTGACACTTTTTTCTTTATTTCAGAAGGATAAAACATGAAATGTTTATCCTTTGTTCGTCAGAATATAGCGAGGGAAAACTTTAATCCAGAAAGAATGTTGAGGGACAAAATTACATATCTGTACCTAACAATTATTTCTTGTCTCTCTCTTATTAGAAGGTGCGCAGGACGCTTTCGAGAAGGACTTCTCGGAGTGGAAACGAACCCGTGACTCCTGGTACACCGTCCAGCAAGCACAGTCGTATCCCGATGCCGAGTTTTAAATCTCCGCCAGAAGAGTCAAGCTCGCCGGAGAGTACTAGTGACGTCAGCCCGTCACCAGTCAGCTCATCCGGCACCTCCGATTCGAGATCGAGAAAAGCAAGCTCCTCTAGGTAAAACATTTTACTGTTGTTTGTTTTGCATTTTTCTCGTAGAAAAAAACATAACTTGTAACTCCCGTAACTTGTTGTTAGGTCCTGTATATTGTATTGATTTGTCCTGTGTTGTGTTGTGTTGTATGTACCAGTGGCAGCCGCCACCAGCCTTTGGCTGCCTTGCTCCCACTTGTAATGCATTGTGGCATCAACAATAAATGAAATGAAATGAAACATGCAGTGGCCTCGTCTATCTAATACATGCGATGGCGGCTGTGTATACAAATGTATGTTCCCAGTGAATCAAAACCTTTTGTACAAAGACTTAAAACCTTTTTTCAAAGTTGTTTAAGTCAGAAATGGATGTTGTAACAGTTGGCAGTAAACTTAGCAAAATATAGCTGATCACTTCTTGTTTAACAAGGTTATGATGTCAAAATTTGAAAATGTATTTATAGGAATCTTGTTTTTTTGGCCCGCCTTTTTTTCGCCCTATCGCATTAGATTTTGAGTCTGCGCAGCATGTCATCCATAAAATTTACTTCCTTTGGCCTATATCATCGCTGTACAAGAGCAGTGACCCGACCCTCTGTCCTACATACTATATATAGTTCAAGGGCTTCCCGACTTAAAATTGTCCTACATGTCGCACATTGTAGCGTTGTTTGCATGGAACTCACGATGCAGGGGGAGTAGGGGTTTGCTCAAAGACGTTCCGCTGACATCTTGTTGAAGTTGCTGTGTCTGCGGACGCTTGAATGATTGATTGATACGATTAAAGCCCGTTCTGACTGTTTGAGTTAAGGCAGTGCAACTTGGGCCTGCAATGCTGATGGGAACCGCTAAAGGCCCTCGTTGACACATGCTGCAACAGCATTACTGACGTTGATATTTATGTTTATACCTTCGCAGAAGGAAAACATATTGTTTTTGCTCAGTTTCTTTCTCCTCTTCTTCCTTTTCCTTTCTAACCAAATAAGGTCAATGACCTGAACCGGACGTCTGTCACCATGGTAACTAGTGTTGGGTTACATCATGTTGCAATTTTATAGCAGGAGGGATTTAGACTCTGTCTGACCATATATGTGAATGTGTTTGAGTAAGAAATAACAGAGCCGACCATATGCGAAGGTAAACATTATGCATTTGCTTTGCAGATGTTACCTTTCTATTCCATTTTTTTAATATACCCGGTGTGGATGATGTGTTTATTAATGTTGACTTTTTATACGTTTGTGTGTGTGTTGCAGTGACCTGTCCAGCTTTGCGAACATGGAGAGAGAACTCCGATGCCCGGTGTGTTCCGAGTTCTTCACTCAGCCCTTGGTCCTGCCCTGCCAGCACAACATCTGCCACCGATGCGCCAAGGAGATCCTCTACCGGGACAGTCCTGAAACCCTGCCGGGAGGGCCGCTCTACAGCGCCGTACAGAGCCCGCTGAAGAGCCCGCTGCCTGCCAAAGTGAGACGGGGTTCAACGCCCGGGCCTCTACAAAGGTATGAAAGCACTCTGCCTCTTTGGCGTTGCCAAAAAATTTCATCCAATTTTCGATGTAGACTTTCATTGGTAGAAAACTTTCGTTGTTATTTAAACATAAGGTTTTTTTATTCTAAAATAAAAAGACTAAACTTAAACTGCCAACACTACAATGAATTGGGACTTACCCCAAATTTTCGCCTGACCCGTCTACTCTTGGAACTTGTGGTCAGAGACACGTCGCCGTAGTAGCGTGTCCTACCTGCCAGATAACTTGTGTCGCCCCCCGTCTCTGTTAACATGTTCAGGTCAGGTCTGTGAGCTCTTATGTAGACCGCCTCCTTCACTCCTCTTGTAAAGAAGTCCGATTCAGAATCGAGGATTTTAATTTATTATAAATTTATATTATAGATTTCTTACTCTGACATTGACCTGTCGCTTTTCCACCGTCTTGTCCTGTTGTGTATTGTGTAGGGCTGCCTCCTTCCGCCGGAAGAACAGTAGCTCCAGATTATCCACCCCGACCGGGCCCAAGTCTCCCCCGCCGCTGAAAGAGTTCCCCTGCCCAAAGTGCCAGGAAGGGGTGGAGCTCGGGCCAAAGGGCATCAATGGATTATACAGGTAAGAAATGGAACTATTGTTTTTGGTATGTCTGTCTGTCAGTGTGTGTGTGTTTCCGCACATTTGTAGTCAGCATAACTTCAGAACGCCTATATGGATTGTAATGATATATGGCATGTTGGTAGGTCGTAGGAAGACAAAGGTCAAGGTCAAATATGGGCCTCCTGGTGGCTAAGAAATGACAGTTCATGTCAATATCAGACAGATTTCCTCTTCCAGAATATTTTTGCTTTGTCGCCCAGAAATTGCATTGGTTGCCTTTAAAATTTTTTGTCACATTTTTACGTCTGAAAATGCTAAGGAGATTGTTTCACTGCAGGATCTTGCACTTTTCAGGAACTTCACACTTGAGACTATAAAATTGCATTGAAAGAGTTTGTCAATTTTTTCTATACGTCTGAAGATGCCAAGGAGATTGTTTTACTGCAGGATCTTGCACTTTTCAGGAACTTCATTCTTGAGACTATAAAATTGCATTGAAAGGGTTTGTCACTTTTTTCTTTACGTCTGAAGATGCCAAGGAGATTGTTTTACTGCAGGATCTTGCACTTTTCAGGAACTTCATTCTTCAGACTATAAAATTGCATTGGAAGAGTTTGTCACTTTTTTCTTTACGTCTGAAAATGCTAAGGAGATTGTTTCACTGCTGTTACACCTCTCAGGAACTTCATTCTGGAGACGATCGTGGAGAGATACAAGTTCCAGGCCAGGAAAGCCGGCGCTATCGCCTGTCAGTCATGTAAGCCCCGCCCACCTGCCGACGCCACAAAAACATGTCTGGACTGTCAGGCCAGCTTCTGTAATGAGTGCTTCAAGGTGGGTCTAATTCTGACTTAAGCCACAGCAAATAATCTTTGTGGGTTTCTTTTCTATGTGATGGTCGCTGTGCGTATGTGATGTTCCCATTGAATCAAAACCATTTGTACAATGATTGAAAACTTTTTCAATGTATTTCTTCATTCACATATGGATGTTGTAATAGTAGGCAGTAAAGTTAGCACAATGTATGCCAAAAAACAGTTACTCAAGCAACTGGATATGATTTTGAAAACGTCAGACGTTTCAGCTAGTATCCACTAGCTTTCGTCAGTGACTGAGAGACCAGAGGGGAAAGCAGGTTTATATACAGTCACTGACGAAAGGTAGTGGATACTAGCTGAAACGTCTGACGTTTTCAAAATCATATCCAGTTGCTTGAGTAACTGTTTTTTGGCATATCGTATTACCTGGATGTCCAACCTTCATCGACGTATCTTAGCACAATGTAGGTATCAGTTTTTAGACCCTTGAAAATACACGGACAATTTTCGCACTCGAACATGCAAGAACTGCACAGAGAAAGAAACACAGGCCTACCCAACTGAAATCTATCTGTCTTATGCTATTCAGTTTTATCTACTATATCAGAGAGTGAGTAAAATCCTGTTCTTTATGTTGTGTGAACGGAACCAGCCATGTGTTGGTCTAGCTAACCGGTAATTTTCGTGCTAAGTAGAGCACATGAAAACACAGCCTACTCATTTGAGCCCTAGCTAATAACCCTGGTAATACGTACCATTAGGCGGCTTGTACTTTTCTAGACAAGTGAGACAGCGCAGAAACATGTGTAAATAACAGCTTTTGTGAACAAGTCGTGTGTGAATATATTGGAGCATGTTCTTCTAGGATTATATAGATGCTTTCTAGATAATTTCACAAGATAGGTGCTAATTATGAGATAAAAATCCCTCCCATGGGGTGTTTTTAGCGTTGATGAACATTGCGGGTGGTATATTTCGGTCCCGTTCACTCCAGTACGCTTTAAGCGCTTTCGATCCGGTTTCCATCGAAGCCGGATTCAAGTGGCCCCATTTTAACGCTCCAAATCTTTAAACAACTGCAATTAAATGTGCAAAGTTTGAGTGTAACAAGTCGTTCGGTGTGATATAGCTAGCTGCCGCCGCGCCGCGTGCCTGTGAAGCTGGTGTGTTATGCCGAATTGCGGTTATATCGGCTATACAGATACAGATACAGATACAGAAATGGCATGGAAAACGCCTCGATCCCACTTCAGGAGGAAGTTTCGAACCGCGATTTGCGTCTGAAACCATCCTTGAATAAGTTAATACGACCTTAAGACGTTCTGCCACCAAAGTGCAGTGCACAATACATTGTGGGTTTCACACAGTGCGTTCTGCCAACGTGCTGTCTATTGCTACGTGGATGTAGTCTCCACCAGACTCCTTTGCAGGCTGAATAACTAATAGAAATCAGCTAAGGGGGACATCATTGGCCAGAGGAGTTGGTCGGCCCTAGAAGGTCCAGCTTGCCTTCCGTGCAGGCAATTGCAAGCTGGACCCTCTATATGGCCGGCCAATTCCTCTGGCCAATGATGTCCCCCTTAGCCGATTTCTACTATTTATTCAGCCTTCAAAGGAGTCTGGTGGAGACTAACGTAGATGATGAAATGTTTGATGTCTGTAATATTACATTTATTGGTTTGTTTTACCTTTATATATAGACTGTGCACATCTGGGGGACTCCAAAGGCACAGCATGAGTATGTCGGTCCTACCTCCAGCTTCCGCCCGAGGGCGCTTCTGTGCGTCGAACACGAGACAGAAAAGGTTAGAGACATGCGCCTGTAGCCTCTACCAGGCTTCAGGAGGTGGCAGGAAAGAATAGAAATCGTCCAAATAGAGAGATAGCATGCCATGGAAGTTTGTCATGCCAGAGGACATTTTGCCGCACTCCCTTGGCATTCTATCTCTCTATTTGGCCGATTTCTATTCTTTTCAGCCGCCTCCCGAAGCCTGGTAGAGGCTAATGCGCTTGTGTTACATAGTTAGCCATTGGCTAATCGCAAAATCCCTTCTTTGTCATGATTGGTTGTTCTAAGTATTGACACTTACGGCAACAGTGGCCGACGAAATTTCTTATCATACATTTACTATCGACATTGTTTACTCTAAACTTTTTAATGCCAATGTCGTCTATGCCATCATTTATTATATTTACCGAAGGAAAACATATTGTTTTTGCTACATTTCAGCATTTATTATCATGTCTACATTTTTTTCGTAAGACGGTGTGTTACTCGTTATACTACGGTTATAGGCAAATTACTGCTGCTGCGATAAGCGTGAATCTGTGCAGTTGCATTGCTGCATGCTAAGTGTCGCTGTTCATTATTTCTGATATTCCAGGTCAGCATGTACTGTCAGGCGTGCAAGAGACCCGTCTGCCACCTATGCAAATTGGGAGGATCGCACGCAAACCACAAGTTTCATCATATGAACACCGCATACAAAAACATCGAAGTAAGTTCCTTTTGCTTCTTCTTCCTAGCGTGCATAAAATGTGGATATTTTTTAATCTTAAAACGTCTCAATTCTAGTTCTGAAAATCTTAAACCTAAATTTTGTGACACATTGCAATTTTTCTCACTACCAACAGGAGAAACTGCGATCCAGTTTGCAGATTTTGAAGGACAAACAGGAAAAGGTAGAAGAACAAAAACGTGTGGTGATGGAGAAGAGGGAGAACAGCAAGGTTCGCGAACGGAAGAACTTACAAACTAACATTCTACATACTAACCCCCTAACTGCAGTAGCTTAGTTCTTTTCATATGTCCATTCACATTCGTTTGTTGTGTCGTTGTGACAGTTTGTGTAGAATAGTTTAACAGATACATGCGTTGATGAAAGACGATATTCACAAGTTACCATTTATGTCATCAAAACAAGATGGCCGACCCATGACGTCATAGTAAAAATGGTGGCGCCCATTGATGCAAAGGTAAAACAGAACAGGTTTAGTTTAAAACAATTTCTCTATTACAGAAAGCAGCCAGTCTGGTGAAGGACAACATCATGAAAGCCTTTGACTCTCTACATGCTATTCTGGACGACCGGAAGTCAGTCTTGTTAGAGAAAGCAGAAAAGGTCATGTCTGCACAAGAAAGCGAACTCGACGCTGCTCTCGCGCAAACTCGCGAGATGATGGGGGTCTCGGGGCTGATTGAGTACGTAGAACAAGTTCTGAAGGAGAACAACCACGCCTGCTTCCTCCAGACCGCCACGGGACTATGTAAAAGGTAAATGAATTTAAAAAAATAACAAAAAAAAACAACTTTTATCAGTCTCTGATATCATTTCATTCATTTATTTTACCAGTGGATCAATCCCACCGCTGACACCAGTTGTAGTGTGCCGAGATACAGAGGTCTTGACTCGACGAGTGTACGCTCCAAACTGGCCCTGGCTACACGGCCAGGGGTACTTTATTGTGCTTAATTATCAGACACAGATGTTCTAGCCTCGCTTCTCGATCTGTTCCCAGCACTTTTTCAGACGTCTCTTGGCACATCTCCAAGCTTCGTGCATGATGTTGACCATATGGTCATAATCCCAATGGTCTACACCATGGTACACATAGACAATGTGTCTCTTGCTAAATCATTTATGTTTATCCGAATGCAGGGTTAAAGAAGCGACAGAGATGAAACTTCCGACAGACTTGGACGTGACCTGCGAGTCACTTACACTCGACGTCAGAAGGGAGGAGGAGCTACTTTCTCAGCTGGACTTTCTGCAAGGTAAGAAGTACATTCTCAATTCTAGACTAGTCTAGTAACTCCGTTTTCTCGGAAAACTTTGTGGCAGTTGTGTTTACCTTCGCAGAAGGAAAACATGATTGTTTTTGCTCTGTTTCTTCTTCCTTTTCTTCTTCGAGCACTATCCTCCTCCGCTCTTATAGCTTCAGCTAAGCTCAATTCAGTCCACTCATGTTGCAATTTCATAGCAGAAAGGATTTAGACTCCTGTCACCATACTAGTATATGAACGTGTTTGAGTAAGAATTAATAGAGCAGACCATACGCGAAGGTAAACATTATGCATTTGCTTAACAAATGTTACCTTTCTAGTTGTGTTCTTATCTACTTCTTGTTTATTTTGGCAGCTCCAAACAAGGTTGACTTGTGTAAGGACGGCATAGTGGCTGAGGATGGACAAGCAGACGTTACCTGGAACCCTCTACCCGCCAATTCTCCCCCCGTCGACTCTCTACACGTGCAGTACTGGAAAATGGCGGCGGTAGGTCTCGCCGACTTGCATGATGGGACATCAGAGGTACCGACGCACGCGCAGACGATCCGTTGCGATGACGTCATTTCCGGTCGGTGCGAGCTGTCCGGGTTAGAGTCGGGTGCGTGGTATGCTTTCCGCGTGCGCGCCTGCAACGGGGCGGGTCCCGGGCCGTGGAGCGACATCGGGACCGTTAGGACATCGCCTGGTATGTGTTACTCTTCATTGCTTTGTTTGTTTCAATTTCATATGTAACTTACAACTAAATAGTTAGTGACGTAGTGTTTACAATCAAGTGACGGTATGAATGAAAAAAAGTTCATTGCTAGTTTTGGAAGTAGACAAATGACAGCAATTAATATTCTATAATAGACAAACCTACAAATGTCACAACGAATGGAAGTTCTTGGTTCTACCAAAACTACAAAACATGGCGTTAAACTAAAGATAAACATACTAAAGTTGATTTTCCTTTTCGGCATTTTCGTCCTTTGCACTTATTGTCAGCAAAAGCTGAATGATTTTCTTCGAAAATTGCAGATCTACGTTTCGATCTTGAGGATAACTACGACCATGATGCTCTGCGAGCCGACATCAAAGGACGCGCCGTCACTTCCGTCCTGCAGCCGGCCAAGCTTCGTCCTGACAACGCCGTCAATTACGTCGTTACCATGGAAACGCATTACGTCACCGGTGACGTCAAGATCGCCGGTGGCCACCATTACTGGGAGGTTGGCGTGGCCGGTAACAGTTTTCTGGTGTGTGTCGGTGTCGCCGACGAGGGAGCGATCCAGACCGAGCTCCGCCGACAGAGCGACGCGGACAGCGGCCATGACAGTTGTGACGAGAACGACACCGTCGGCGTCACGAACGCCATGGCAACCGTCACGGTTACCATGGGAACGTTGGAGGGCGTTGATAAGAGCGTCACGCGTTGCCATGGTGACGGCGGATCACGTGTGGGCATCTTTGTGGACGCCGACGAAGGCATCGTCCGTTTCTATGACGTCACGTCGAAGAAGATGGTGAAGGAATGTTGTGTGGACGCGGGAAAAGTTTTCGTTCCTCTGATTGGTCTGTGCGGGCCAGGAACAGTCCATTACTAGATTCAGGGGGAGAAATTAGAAAGAAGAGATTTGGAATAAGATGAACAGGATAGTCTATGTCTTAAAGTCGCTCTTAGATGGAAAATTTCATTTTCTACACGGCAATTTATATTTTGCACATTTTGTCCGTCGCTTTTTTCAGCACTAGACTTTGACACAAAATATCCATGTAGCTTTTCATGAACATCTGACGTCATCATTTCATGTGCACACAAGAAAGTTCCGAACGAGTCTTGACGTCATCAACTTGTGTGGACTTGTTCTTCATCAGAAATCTGACCACATCACCTGTTCTGAAGTGACTTAGCTTCTTTTGCTACTGAATATTCTATCTAGTATTTGTCTCTGTACCTTAACATTCTAAGCGTCCTTAAGTACCTTGTTACGATCAAATGTCAAGCCTGATTATCTGGGTAATCTTGTTAATGAGTTCTTAAGTACATGTAATAGAAGTTATAAAGTTGGGTTGGTTAGTAGATAGCGATATGTGGTTAGTGATTTACGTGAAAGTTTGTGCTGGAGAAGTGGTTTTTGTATTGTGTAGTCGTTGTTTAAAAGGTTAGGGTTTGGGTAGCACATTTCGATTATTATGGTAAGTTAGGTAGCATATTTGACAGTACAGTCAATGTAACCCATCACAATTGACACACACACTATGACTTCTCTGTTAAAATACTGTCGTTTTCAAGTCAAAAATTGTGCAATTGAACCAAACGGAATTTTACCATCCTTTGGGCCATAAACTTTGAAACTTTATTAGAATAACCATTAGCGGTGGACCCTAGGGTCCACCGCTAGTCTTCCTGGTATTCCTACATGTACATACAGACGATACATTATACAACATAGTGGACAACTGGTCAAGTCACAAACATATCTAAAACAATAACATATTTACAATATACATAATTTTAAAAAACCGGTAGCTATTGAATAGAAAGTTGAATTTTAGTGTACGATCTTGGCAATATGTATGTAAATATGATATAGAATGTAATGCTGGACACTGTCACACATGGGTGTAGTTTTAAACATGTCAATCTTTGAGTACATGTCATGGTTTCTATATCTTGTAATGTCTTCTTTTTTTAGTCTTATTCTGTAGCTTCTAGGTCTTCGCGCGTATATGCCAGCAGCAGCTTAACTAAACTGCAGTGCGTCTTAGTAATCCTAGATGGCGCTGCAACCAAGTAATGATAGACTAGAACAGCAGCAGATAGTTTTCTAGTTTTGTCACCTTGGCAGACGCCTAGAAGGGCATCGACTAGAGAGTATCCGTGGAGAAATCTTGGAGGGGCATAACTCTTGCCGTACTAGAGTAGTCTCTACCAGACTAACTACACTGGCTATATATAGGAAAATATTTGCCAGGGGAGTTTGGCCGCCTTGTAGGTTTGACTGGCCGCGCAAAGAAACTACCTCCCCGCGGCCGGACTCCCTTGGCCAATTTTACTCTTTTTTGCCGCCGAATTCTGCGATCCGTATTACCGTAGAAAGGCCTGGTGGAGGCTAGTACTAGTGGACCCTAATCCACATTAAACAATCGCGTATCAGCACACACACACACCAATGAAATTTTTTCTAAATGTTGCTTTCCACGAAGTCAATGATGGGCTGAAGGCTAGTCTTGATATGCGTGAATGATCTATTAACAGCTGGGGGGTGAGACGCTTCTCTGAGTGAAATGGAGCAGTTCTTTGACATGTTTTGACGTGACATAACTAGCCGTATCTTCTTTCCTTTGTTTTCATACAGAATCGTCCACTTATTCGTTCTGACAATTCTCACCGACCATCCATCTTCAAAATTGCACCCTCCACGGAGAGCAAATGGTAGTTTTTAATTAGCTTCACCTGCAATTAAAGAGGCTGTTCGTAATTAAACACAACCTTATCTTAAAGCTTAATCACCCGACAAGCTGGGTGTCTTTGTTTTCGTCCGTTCTGGTAGGAGAGGAGCAAACCATCCTTTTGTGTGCGGATCGTGAGAATCCTCGCAGTAAACGGTTTGAGACCTCGGGCGATGCTGGTTAAAAATCACCGCCTGTCACAGGTGAAAAACGAGACCCCGCAGCCGAAAGACCTCCTCCGTGTCGTAATAATTGTTTTTGTGGCTTTCCTAAACACTTACTGGCACGAAGTAATGTTCTGTTCATGGTTATTTCATAGTTTTGGGACTGCATGACCATTGAGTAAAATTTGGCGCCATTTTGCTGTGTTATGACACATTCTTGTCTGGCAGAAACTTCAATCACTCAGTGTACAGCACAACACATTTAGTAGCTTTCCTAAACACGCATTGGCAGGAACTAATGTTCCGTTTATGGCTTAATTTCATACTTTGGGTACTGTACGCCATTTTGCTGTGTTATGACACATTCTTGTTGGCCTAAATGTCGTCTGACAGAGACTTCAATCACTCCATGTACAGCATAACACAGTCAGTAGCTTTCCGAAACAATTATTGGCACGAACTAATCTTCATGTTTATGGTTATTTCATAGTTTGGGTACTGTACGATCATTGAGTGAAGTTTGGCGCCATTTTGCTGTGTTATGACACATTCTTGTTGGCCTAAATATCGTCTGACAGAGTCAATCATGTTAATTATACCCCATTGACAGGACAACAGTAATTGTAGGAAGTTTGTAGGACTCTCGTTTGTAGGATTTTTCTTGTGTTCAACGTTCTTTCGGCTCTAATCTGATTGAATATTCAATCAAATCTTGGACAGGAACAGTAAAATGTATTGCCCAATTTCGTACCGTAAAGAGATCCTTAACGTATCTGTTTCTTTTGGGCTCCCTGTCTGTGTCAAAGATTGTTTATTTGTATGTTGATTTGAATGGGTTTGTTTGCATCCTTGGTCGCCATCCCACACAAAGTTTCAAGCAGACGTAGGTTTCTACTCGGTTTTTAGGTCTGTCCTTTTATAGGAATTTTCTTCGTCTTTCTAGTCTGTAAAATTGTCTCAAAAACGCTTAGACGAACCCTATATCTGCTTGAAGATGACGCACAGTAGACAACAGTCTTACTTATAGTGACAGAAGGAATGATTTTGTTTTTAGGTCAAACCCTCAAGTGTTCTCCGTTTGCGTTTTTAATCCAGCATAAACGTGCGAGAGGATGGGAGGATGGGCTTTAGCGCGCTGGGTGGGGTGTCTTCTCGAGTGGGGTAGTTTTGAAGCCTGTCCTGGAATAATTTACCTAAAACAGCTAGGCCAGTTGCTCTACTTTTGCTAACGTTTGTTAATTCGATGTACGGAACAGATATCTTTTTAAGATCGCTCGCAGTTGTTCTTATAAAAGTGGCATCGACGTGTAATGAACGTACGACATCTCCGTTTGTATATAAGACATTTTAAATAGACTGATCAATATCTATAGAGGTAATCTAATATCAACTAAAATCTCAAGTAGCTGTAGCCTATGTTTGACAACTTAGGGTGTGGAGAGGAGTGTTGGCACGCTCTAATACTAGTATTAGACCAATTCTATCAATTAGTATACTTATAATATTATGATAACGTATGACATACCTTTGCTTAGTTATATGTTGACATGCTTCACATTATCAGGAATATTGGGACACCTTGTGCAACCCATGTATAGAATTAACTATGGAGTACTCATCACAAACAAGGCATCGTTTTAGAGGACAATGTTGTTTGATGATGATGTTTTTGGGGGCATATGGGTACAGGCTAGGCTATCAACAAGAAAGACGATTTGTTGAACACAGGAAACTGACCAGGTGTTGGTCTCACGAATTTGGGTTAATCTTAAAGCAATCCGCTTTACTTCCAAGAGAACAATCGGGCAACTACTCGACTTGATTGGAACGGATTAACTCGGATAGAACTGGATTCATTTTCTTTCTCAGTCGTTTGACAGACTGACCCGCATTGTCTCGTGTGAGGTCACCAATTGTAGGTTACGATGTCACAAAAGTGCCATTGTATAATATAACTAGGAAGGTATCATTTGCAAAGCAGATGCATAATGTTTACCTTCGCATATGGTCTGCTATGTAAATTTTCATTCAAACACATTTATATGTAGTCAGACAGGAGTCTAAATCCCTCCTGCTATAAAATTGCAACATGATGTAACCAACACCAGTTACCATGGTGATAGACGTCTGGTTCAGGTCATTGACCTTATTGGTTTGGAGAAGAAGAGGAAGAAACTGAGCAAAAACAATATGTTTTCCTTCAGTAAACATAACAAATATATATGATAAACATGTTCATAAATCAAAGTCGTCATAACGTTCCAATGTCAAAACAATAAAGTCAGTAGACTTAGACATCGTTATTCTCAACGCGCTGTATCTAAGGCGTCTGTTTACAGAACTCGGTCGTCAAAATAAAAGGAAGAACTGGTAGAGCGACCCTTGTACTGGTTCACGTTGTGTGAAATGTATGTATGTTTACTCAACATACATTTGGGGATACGCAGTACGTACAGTATGTTTGGGTGTGATTTATCCACCCTCCCACACCTACCTTATTTTCTGTCTAGACACTCAGGGTTTAGAATAAATTTATTTGTCCTTCGGGGACATCAAAGCGAACTAAACTTAACCACCTGTACAAAAATGGAAAATTGCACACAAGGTCGCTACTATTTACATAAAAAAGGAGGTTATTTTTATCGCAGTTTGTTGCAGACAGGGTGGCGCAAAAATAGCAACAAGATTTGATAAAAGAAGTTGTAGTTTTGTCAAATTTTGTTTTGATAATCTCGTTGTTACGTCCGCAATGCCTGGAGCGGTTGACACCGATGACCAGTGGGCAGTCACATGGAAGGACGGACCCTGAAGTGACCAGTGCCGGACAATTCACCTAGCCGAAGGGTCAAGGGGTTAATGGCATTTTTCATATCATCATTTCGTGTCCTTATTTTCTTCACTGCGGGTGGCCTAAGGTTGGCAACAAGCCATTAGGCCACAACAAGTAATTTTATGGATGACGTCCGCGCGCGCATTGATTTTGGCCGGTTCCCAGATAAAAAAACAAGAAGAGCTG